AGCCAACAGCTTGCATTTTTAATAGGCAAGAAGTTTTCTTCATAAAACAATGTTTTTACAATTAATGTCATCTTCCAGTCATTAAAATATGATGATATGACAGCTTTTCTCTTTGCAATCATTTCTTTTTTTTTTTTCTTTAAGACAGAGTCTCATGTTGTCCTCAGTAGAGTGCTGTAGCATCACAGCTCACAGCAACCTCCAACTCTTGGGCTTAAATGATTTTCTTGCCTTAGCCTCCCAAGTAGCTGGGACTACAGGTGCCCACCACAACACCCAGCTATTTTTTTGTTGCGGTTGTTTAGCTGGCCCCAGCTGGGTTCGAACCCACCACCCTCAGTGTATGTGGCTGGCACCATCTTCACTGTGCTACAGGCGCCAAGCTGGCAATGATTTCTTTTGTTTTTTCTTGTTTTTAGAATTGTTTTATCTTGAATCTGAATATTGAATTTTCCCAAACTTCTCTCACCTATAGTAAACCTTTTTCAATGTGTAACCAAGTGCTTTTTCTTGTAAAAGGTGATACAGGCTAGGGGCCCGTAGCTCAGCGGCCAGGGTGCCAGCCACATACACTGAAGCGGGCGGGTTTGAATCCAGCCTGGGCCTGCCAAACAACAATGACAACTATAACCAAAAAAGTAGCCAGGCATTGTGGTGGACGCCTGTAGTCCCAACTACTTGGGAGGCTGAGACAAGAGAATTGCTTAAGCCCAAGAGTTGGAGGTTGCTTTGAGCTGTGACACAACAGTACTCTACCCAGCGGGACAACTTGAGACTCTGTCTGCCCCAGGTGCCATCTTTCCTTCCTCTCCATCTGAGCTGTTTGCCACCTGCCTCTCTTCTCCACGCATCCTCCTACGACCTGCCTCTGGCCTTCCTTGATTGGAGCTCCTGCTTCTTTCTTGGCCATGCCCTCACTTTGCAGTGGTGTATCTCGGGTAAGAATACACAGAGATGCGTTCTGAGTCTCTACTCCTCTGAAAATATCTATGTGCCACTTTCACTTGAAATTGCTAATTTAGCTACTCATAGAAATGTATTAAAAACCATTTTCCAAAAAAAAATTAAACTCATAAATAAATAAAAAACCATTTTCCTGCAGAATGGTGAAGTCTTCTTGTCTTCTCAGCACTACCTCTCTCATTCTCACCCTTCTGCATAAGGCATTCATTTTCCTCTCTGGAAGCCTTTAACTCTGATGTCTAAACTTTTTTTAACGATGAGCCTTGAAGGGGATTTTCTTTCATTGATTGTGTTGGACACTCCAGGGTACTTCAATCTGGAGTCTCTTGCCTTTGCAGTTGAATGCGTCCTTGCTTGGAGTTTCTTTGATAATTTCCTCTCCTCTCATTTCTTGTTTTTCCTTATAGAACTCCTGTTTGTGAAACGCTAGTCTTCTGGAGTCAGTCCTCTAACAAGCTTATTGTTTCTCTCGTTTCCACCGCTGTCTTTTTTGCTTTACTTTCTGCTTGATTTCACTGACTTTACCTAACAAACCTCCTGCTGAATTTTTTATTTCAGTCATTGCATTTGTCATTTTCAATCTTTCTTATTCTTTGCTGGTCCCTATCTCTTCATCGAATCTTATGCTTGTTTTAGGAAGCAATAACTTCCCCCTCTGAGGATGTTAGAGCTTTTTCTTCTCCCCTACTCTGATGTAGGTTTGTTTCCTCTGTGGTTCTGTGTGTGTACTCGTTTAAGTTTGTTTAATTTGGTTCCTGTCATTCCTGCAAAAGGTTTTCCTCAGACTGTATTCAAAAGAGAGAAGTAAATATCTGAATACAGGGCCTCAGAGAGTGTGCTCAGGGCTTCGTTGAGAGGTGGGTGTCACTGTAGGGCAATCGTCTGAGACACCAACCAGTTCCCTGAGGGACCAACCAGTTCACTGAGGGACTCTCAAATGTCAGCATCTAGAGGTCCTTGCTGTTAGGAGGCAAACTGGGCCCCGGAAAAACTTTGCCCCTCCTCTCGAACACAATGGGCCTAGTTAGCCCTGCCCCAAAGGTTCAAGCCAGAAGGACCTTAGCCCCCCAGAATCCACCAGCAAGCTGTGGAATTCTTCCATCCCCTATGGCCCCACAGGGAAGGAAATTTCTAACTGCCCTCAGTGCAAATGCCATCTTTGGCTCTGCCTAGGCAGGTCTCTGGCCCTGTCATTAAACCTGACCTATTAAACCTGACCTAAACCTCTGTATTCTCTGGTCTCGTTTCTGGGCACACACCACCAAATCCCCTTTCACTTGCTGTGAGATTATTCCATGTTTTCTCCACCATCTTCCTAAGTGACCACCAGCATTCCAGGAGTTGGAGGAGACGGGCTATAGACAAGACTGACCCATGAAAGTAGGGCCCTGGCCTGGGCCCTTTCTTTATAAATTTCCCCCTCAATTCCCTCTTTAGGATGGGCCAGAAATAGTTCCCCCAGGACTGATAGGGGAAAGCAGTATTATCCAGGTAAATTACCCCACACCCAGGCCAGGTCCTGCATGTGCCCTGGTCTCTATTTCTTCCCTCCAAGGTATACTTTGACCTTCTCTTCCATGCAAGGGATTGGCCAGATACCCCAAGGAACTCCAGGATTCATACTGACAGAGTCATCCTCAGGCCCAGTGAGTGGGCCCTGGTTCCCAAAAGGCAGCCTACCAAGCAGATAAGTCCAACTGGCCAGAACAGTATTTTTATCACAGAATCACATGAGATGAGTCATCAGAATAGTGCTGACAAGCTGATTTTATGTGACTCCAATTTTTAACGTAGACAAAGACCCCACACACACACAAAAAAAAATGTTTCCAGCCCTGTACATCCCTAGGGGCAAACCAAGCCACAGGTCCCTTCAGAGTTCAGACCTTTACGTAATCCCCTTTCCCCACCTGCCCCTGTTGTGCCTTCTCTACTCTGCCTGACACCCTGAGCTCCGTGCCTTTCCCATTCAACGTCCCCTCTCCTTCTGACCAGAAGGAGGAACACAGTAGTCTGGCAGAAAAAGGGGGAGATAGGTGGCACCTGTAGCTCAAGCAGCTAAGGCGCCAGCCACATACACCAGAGCTGGTAGGTTTGAATCCAGCCCGGGCCTGCCAAACAACAATGACAACGACAATAAAAAAATAGCCGGGTGTTGTGGCCGGCACCTGTAGTCCCAGCTACTCGGGAGGCTGAGGCAAGAGAATCGCTTAAACCCAGGAGTTTGAGGTTGCTGTGAGCTATGACACCATGGCACTCTACCCAGGGCGATAGCTTGAGGCTCAGTCTCAAAAAAAAGAAAAAAGAAGAAGAAAAAGGGGGAGATGGGGACATATGGATCCAGCCACTCCACATAGAAATGTGCAGCCAACCCCACCTTCTCATTTCCACCCTGCACAGTATCTAAGGCCTCCACATCCTGGGCCACGTGGGGGTCTAGGCTGAGCTGTCTCACTGCCGCCAGCCTGCAGGGACCCCACTGAACACGCATCTCATTCCCTCTGCCTCCCAGCTTCCAAAGACTTCTGGATATCTTCTTACCTATCTTCCTCTCTTCTCATCTTCCTTCCTCATAGTTTATAATTATTCTATTCCTTTGATACTATTTTAAGGGATCAGTAGGGGGCAAAGGGAGATAAATGTGAATTTTCTGGGTTTTGTTTTCATTGGTGGGGATTCATTGAGGGTACACAGAACCAGGTTATATTGATTGCTTTTGTTAGATAAAGATCCTCTTATATCTGTGCTTCTCCCCCAAAAGGTGAATTTTCAATCTTTCACTTTAAACATGGCAAGATTATTGTTGCTTCTGACACAGCTTTGATTGAGGAC